AGCGCAGGTGTTTCTATTACCGGCACTTACCTACAGTTTGGGCATGTGACAGCGCCTTTAGGTCCGACTGGGTAAGGGGAGGATATGAGGCGACGAAGTGGCGGTTGCGAAATATAAACCCTTTTAGTAGGGAACTTCTGTTATTCCCAATACACCTGCCGAACGTTGGACAGCATGGACATTGGTCGCTGATCGGTGTGTGGCCCCGGAAGGCGGAAATCGCTACTTTCGATTCTGTCGGGCATCGGCGAGCTGCAGCGAGACAACAAATGGAGGGCGTGCTAGATTTTCTTCGGCTGTACGCCAGATCCGAGAACCTCCCGTTTGACGCGGATGGTTGGGCCCTAGTCGACTCCCCGGCAAGCTTACCCCGCCAAGAAGATGCAGAGAGCTGCGGAGTGTTTGTGTGCGTGTACGCTGACAGGTTAGCGAGGAACGCCCCTATCACTGAACCTATCGACGTCCACGAAGCACGCTTGGCCATCGCCGAAGTCCTGAAGAGAGGGAAATTCGACAGGGAGGATTTCCAAAATCGCCGGAACGTCAACCCCGTCCCTCCTCAGTCGTCAGCCGTTACAATCGACCTCACGCTGCCGGTTGACGAAACCCCATCGGAGATCTTCGAAGTGGTAGAGGAGGTGACTGGGGAAGTCGGGCAACATTCTGACAGGAGGGCTGCGGAGGAAGCGAGGCTGTTAGGTGGCGAGACCTCAGCCATGCTGCTAGACGACGTGGCGGAGGCTGAAGCTTCGGGACGGGCACCCGTCGAGAGCCAAGAGCCCTGTCTAGACCTGGAGGATGGCGAGTTGGTGGTGGAGCTTGACGCGGAACCAGCCGCCAGACCAGCGGTCCAGTCGAGATTGGGTGGTTGTCAGCGAGGCGAGGATCGTCGTCAACACCGTCACCCAGGATCCCGGCGAGAACATAAGCGAAGGCTCGAGCGGCATCGCGACGAGACTCGAAGGTACCAGGGAAGCCAGCAGCGTCAGGTGGTGGAGAGGAGCCGTGGTCTAGGTGGACACAGGGTTCGGAGACCTGACCACGGGGTGGAGCCGAATCGGCGCAATCCGGAAGGAGTGTCTACGAGGAGACGCCGGGAAGGTGGACCTCAACAGCAGGAACCTGGTCAACGCCGGAATGAGGAGACCCGTCGTCGTGCTCACGTCGACTTGAGGTATAAGCTCCTGGCCCGACGGTGCGAGAGACTGCATTCTCCTCAACGGTCTGGGCGGAGCGGTGACGTAGCTCGCAGACTCGAGCGACGGTTCACTGAGAGGGCGGAGAGAAGGCCGCCGGCATGCTCTCAGTCGGACGTGCGGGTGGATACGGAGGCCAGCGGTCAGCGCGGGTTCGAAGTGCCACAACACCTGTGAGACCGTTTGGCGGAGTTGGAGACCCAAGGGTGGTCGAAGACGGATCTGAGGAACAAGCGCTGGGTGGTGACCCGGGCCGATGGGTCCAAGTTCAAGATCCGTGCCGCCAAGCTCCGGACCCTAGAGACACTTCATTGAGTGTCGTGATGCGGGTGGGGCTTTACAATATTTAATTTTAGTTTACTGCTCGCAGTTGGAGTGGGAGTGATTTATTTGTTTTTTTGTTAATCTAGTAGTTTGGTTTTTGGTTTACATTGAGACCCATGGTAAAGGAGGTATCATTGGGTGAGGGGCCGGAGTGTTTTGTTTTGGTCGGAGTTTGGAGATTTTTTTTCTTTTGGCCGTTTTCTTTTTTTTTCCCCCGATGTAAGTGGGGGGTGTAACGAGTTATTTTTCCCAGGGGGGTATATTTTCGTTATTTGGGCCGCGGGTCTGTTGAGGTAAGCAAGCAGCGGCAGCGAAGCTACCTAGCGCCCTTTGACCCGGCTTATCAGTTCCGATAAGCCTGGGATATCCTAAGATCTTCAGGACAGTATAGGAGAAGGACATTCGAGTGGTGGATCTCGGAGAGTCAAGAAGTGAGTGTTGATGTCCTGTGCCTGTGGAGACGGCTGGCGTACGTTGGTGGTACAGAGAGGAGTGGTGTACGTGACAGTGGTGTCGGAGTATGCTGGTGGTGTGATCGCGCCGAGTGTTGGTGTAAGTTGGGTACTGACCCACTTGTGGTGAGTGGACGACTTGATATTATTATTTTGATAATATTAATATCTGGTTTTATTGCGAGAGTTAGAGTTGTAACCGTGCTGGTCAAAGCCTGACGGTAGTTAGGATTTATATTAGTCAGGAATAATATTAAAGTGTATTCCTGACGGTTCTGGGCAGGTGCTAGAGCGCAAATAATATAATTTAATTGACTGTAGTAGATATTATTTTGCGTTGTACCTAGAGTTAGTTATATTACTAATAACTCTGAGGCCCGACAAACCTAGGCTGCACGATTTAGCGTGCGTAGTTGGAAACACGTGGCCAGTAGGCTAGTAGCTAATATTATTAGCCTATTAACAGAAGCCCAGCTAAGCAATATAACGTTGATATAGTAACAGTAGCAGTAGTAGGGTTGTTATTGTTTATTCATTTGATTATTTTAATTTAACCTGAACAGCTTGTTTGGTAGTCCAACACGTTATCTCGGTAGCTTGGGTAGCGGAGTACCGGCTATCAGATAATATATTTATCTAGTGTTTGGAACGTATTTAATATTTATTTATCTGCTACTAAGTAGCTCAATAATTTAATAGTAGTGCAATTGCCATTTAGCTTTGCTTGTTTGGCTTGGTATTTATTGAGACCAGCTACTAGTGGTGTAGTCACTCTACCTATAGTGCACTTGTACTGTTATCTGGTATTATTATTGAGTGAACTGTTTGATTGTTAGCTTGGGCAATAGAGTTGTGTATTGGATTATAGTGGCCTAGTAGACCCCGCCTGGCGATAACACGCGTTGTGGTTTTTATTGGCAAGTCGTCGTGTAACTCACCGTGTTTTAGGCACTCTGGGCTTAACTATTGGATAGTTAGGACGAAGCCCGAGTTGCGCAGTCAGCAACGACCCCCTAGGAGTGTGGAGAATCGGCGTAGGCCTGGTAGTGATTATTGCACGTTTGTTTTGGTGACTTGTTTTTTTTACTTGTTCACAGTGCCCGTGTATGAGCCAGTCCGATACCGGTTAGACCCGGCTTTTGGCCTAGTGGTTTCCCTGACCTTATCGCAGACCCTGGAACTTTACCCAGCCATTGTAGGCTGAGCTATCCCCGGCAAACGGTTGCGACTGCTGCACTTGTAATATTTTTCCAGTGCAGAAAATCTCGTCGCAAGGTGGCGCCTGCGAACAGGGACTGAGGTTGGCAGTGGTGCTGAGTTGCTGACGTATTAACGGCGCCCGAACAAAAAAATTTTATTTGTGCAGATTTGCTGCGGACTTATGCAGATTGGCTGCGGACCTGAGCTGTTGAGCAGAGTTTTAGGCAGACCTGCTGTGATTTTATAGTCGGTTTGGAAGGCCTAACCTGTTTTCTGTTACAGCGTGGTGTGTTGTGAACCCTAATTTATTTAGTGGTTGGATACATAGATATTAGTTGGTAAATATTATTTTGCTAATTAATTGAGCTTTAGTGTTGAATATTATTTGAGTGAGAACCCTTATTGTGTATTTGTGGTTTGACTTTCACCCCTATTATTGGTGTGATTTTATAGAACGGTGTTAAATAGATTTTAATCGGTTTCGCTCTTATTTTTGCGGATTAGTCGTGGTATTTGAGTTTTAAATATGGTTGTCACTACGAATACGACGTCTGTGCTGGGCGGTACGCCTATTACGTCTGCTATTGCTACGACTAGTTCTGGGGTTAGCTCCGAACTGTCGGTGATGACGACATCGTCATTGTGGCCGGCGTCTTCGCCCGTTTGGCCGACAATTTCCTCGGTAGTGGCTACGACGGTGACAACTTCGTTGACCTATTCCGCGCCAGCGACTATGTCCTTGGGGTCGCAGCCCCGGGACAGTCGCGTGGGTTGGATCTATGACCTCTCGAAAGGTGAGCTCATGAGAACGATGGACCAGTATGGTTTGGTGACCACTGGTACTTCTGCGGAATTACGGTAGCGATTCTCGTCGTTTTGGAAGCAGCGGAATGCCCGTCGGTACAGCGATGATAGGCTGTGTACGGCTGGGGCTGCTGCACCGACATATGTACCGCCGGCTACTACAACTGTGGAGTTTCCTGACCCCCCGAGAACCGTACCTCAGGTACTGGGTAATGCGGAATCGAATCAAGCAGAGATAGTGGGACTTAGCAGGGAGTTAGAGGTGGTTAAAGAGATCCTTGGGTTGTCTTTGGAGACTGATACCCGGACTCTTAGAGAACATCTGGCATCGGTGGTGCGACAGGCGAGAGGCTCGCCGAGTAATGGGGTCGGCTATGGGTTCGAAAGACCCGCCAACCCTACGTCCCCTGTTGTGGCTGCTCCAATGCCTACCTTTGGGTTACCTAGTAGACCCGAGGGATGGCAGCGGCCCAATGATACTTCTGAGAGACCAGCCCGGCCTTCTAGCTTGGAGCTGCCACGAGGCTCGGATATGCTCTCAAATGAGGCCAGCAGGGTGGAGCCAAAGGATTGCTCCAAAGTATGCAACACGGTACGGAAGTGGGGTTTAAGGTTTGATGGCCGACGAGACCCTGTGTCGTTCCTGGAGCGCCTTGAAGAGCTGATGGTCTCGTACTCTATAACATCAGAGGACCTGCTCAGAGCGCTGCCGGAGCTGTTGCAAGGCTCAGCGCTTCTATGGTACAGGAATTGCAAGGAGCTCCTGTATTCATTTGAAGCTTTTCGGCATCAATTTGAGATCCAGTTCCTTCCACCTGGTTATCAGAGGAATTTGGATGAGGAGATCCGGAAAAGGACACAGGGTGAAGGCGAGCACTTCCGGGACTACGTGGTTGCTATAAGTACCTTGCTTAGGCGTAGCGGTACGTTGTCCGAGCATGGTAGATTGGACTTGATCTACAACAACATGCGACCAGAGTACAAACTCATGGTGTGACGGCGGGACTTCCGCAATCTGGCCGAGATGGTTGAGTTAGCCGAAGACTACGAGGCCTATCTGCGAGAGAAGGCGGCCTTTAGACCTCCTCCTTCTCCGGACGTAGCGCTGGTTTTGGAAACCGCCTACACACCCAAAAAGAAGGTGGAGAAGCGCGCCGAAACTGCCGCCGTCGAGAAGCGGAGTTTCGAGAGACCATCTCCGGAAGCTGAGTCGCTTGGGCGGGTGGCTTCGAAGTCGGATCGGGTCCACGGTCAACGGCCCGTGACAGCAGCTAGAGCGCCTGAGGGTCCAAAGGGGACGGTGAAATGTTTTAGGTGCCAGGAGATTGGTCACTTTGCCCGAGAATGTGGTAAACCAAGGACCGTCTCCTGTTATGGATGTGGCAATCCCGGTATGACGGTGAATCAGTGTGGATGTCGTGCGGGAAACGGCAGGCCAGCTCAGACATCAGGAGGTCAACTGAGCGAGGCCCCCGAAAACGAACGACCTCAGAAGAGTGGTCCGAGTGGCTCGGACAACTAAACAGCCTGGTTGGTAGAGTAGACGAGGACCGACTAACTTTGGACTCTAGGTCCTTTGTTGAAGTTGTGCTGATGGGCAGCGTTTTTAAGGCGTTATTGGACACTGGGTCCGTAGTTAGCTTGGTTGGGCGAGGAGTCGCCAACCATCTTCAGCACCAGGGTGTAGAGCCGTGTAAGCAAACCGCTCCTCTGAGGATGGCAGATGGGACACGGTCAACGGCCAAATATTCGTTTCGGCTAGCAGGAGAAGCTGCGGGAAGACGGTGGATAGGAGATGCCTTGTACGTCCCCACTCTCACCACGGACATGATTCTGGGTATGGATGTCATCCGAGACCTCGGATTGGTGACATGTGGGACAGAGGTAGTAAGAATGGGCGTGGGTGATGACTGTTCTGGCCAAGCAGGTGGCCGCATGGACAGTGTCAAAATTGGTGACGTAGACCCCGAAGGCCCTTGCAATGGAAATCCCCGTCTGGTTCCTGATGCCAAATCATTCTGCACCATGGCTGGTAGTGGCAAGTAGAAGAGTTTTTCTTTGTTTTAAGTTTGAGACCTGTGGTGTAGGATTCACCATTGGGTTAGGGGTTAGAGTATTTTGTTTTGGCCGGAGTTCGAATATTTTTTTTTCTTTTTGGCCGTTTTCTTTTTTTTTCATCCCGATGTAAGTGGGGGATGTAACGAGTTATTTTTCCTAGGGGGGTCCTAGGGGGGTTTTGGGCTTGGGTAGTCGTTGCTTGGTTGCTTGCTTGTTTGCCTGCTTGTTTACCTTTGGCTTAGTATTAAGATGTCTCTGCGTTCGGAGATTTTTGTTTTGCCGGAAGACATTGAGACCCTTCGTCCCAATTGCCTAGTGAATGGGATTGCGATTAATGGGTACCTTCGCCTTATTGAGCGCAGGTGTTTCTATTACCGGCACTTACCTACAGTTTGGGCATGTGACAGCGCCTTTAGGTCCGACTGGGTAAGGGGAGGATATGAGGCGACGAAGTGGCGGTTGCGAAATATAAACCCTTTTAGTAGGGAACTTCTGTTATTCCCAATACACCTGCCGAACGTTGGACAGCATGGACATTGGTCGCTGATCGGTGTGTGGCCCCGGAAGGCGGAAATCGCTACTTTCGATTCTGTCGGGCATCGGCGAGCTGCAGCGAGACAACAAATGGAGGGCGTGCTAGATTTTCTTCGGCTGTACGCCAGATCCGAGAACCTCCCGTTTGACGCGGATGGTTGGGCCCTAGTCGACTCCCCGGCAAGCTTACCCCGCCAAGAAGATGCAGAGAGCTGCGGAGTGTTTGTGTGCGTGTACGCTGACAGGTTAGCGAGGAACGCCCCTATCACTGAACCTATCGACGTCCACGAAGCACGCTTGGCCATCGCCGAAGTCCTGAAGAGAGGGAAATTCGACAGGGAGGATTTCCAAAATCGCCGGAACGTCAACCCCGTCCCTCCTCAGTCGTCAGCCGTTACAATCGACCTCACGCTGCCGGTTGACGAAACCCCATCGGAGATCTTCGAAGTGGTAGAGGAGGTGACTGGGGAAGTCGGGCAACATTCTGACAGGAGGGCTGCGGAGGAAGCGAGGCTGTTAGGTGGCGAGACCTCAGCCATGCTGCTAGACGACGTGGCGGAGGCTGAAGCTTCGGGACGGGCACCCGTCGAGAGCCAAGAGCCCTGTCTAGACCTGGAGGATGGCGAGTTGGTGGTGGAGCTTGACGCGGAACCAGCCGCCAGACCAGCGGTCCAGTCGAGATTGGGTGGTTGTCAGCGAGGCGAGGATCGTCGTCAACACCGTCACCCAGGATCCCGGCGAGAACATAAGCGAAGGCTCGAGCGGCATCGCGACGAGACTCGAAGGTACCAGGGAAGCCAGCAGCGTCAGGTGGTGGAGAGGAGCCGTGGTCTAGGTGGACACAGGGTTCGGAGACCTGACCACGGGGTGGAGCCGAATCGGCGCAATCCGGAAGGAGTGTCTACGAGGAGACGCCGGGAAGGTGGACCTCAACAGCAGGAACCTGGTCAACGCCGGAATGAGGAGACCCGTCGTCGTGCTCACGTCGACTTGAGGTATAAGCTCCTGGCCCGACGGTGCGAGAGACTGCATTCTCCTCAACGGTCTGGGCGGAGCGGTGACGTAGCTCGCAGACTCGAGCGACGGTTCACTGAGAGGGCGGAGAGAAGGCCGCCGGCATGCTCTCAGTCGGACGTGCGGGTGGATACGGAGGCCAGCGGTCAGCGCGGGTTCGAAGTGCCACAACACCTGCGAGACCGTTTGGCGGAGTTGGAGACCCAAGGGTGGTCGAAGACGGATCTGAGGAACAAGCGCTGGGTGGTGACCCGGGCCGATGGGTCCAAGTTCAAGATCCGTGCCGCCAAGCTCCGGACCCTAGAGACACTTCATTGAGTGTCGTGATGCGGGTGGGGCTTTACAATATTTAATTTTAGTTTACTGCTCGCAGTTGGAGTGGGAGTGATTTATTTGTTTTTTTGTTAATCTAGTAGTTTGGTTTTTGGTTTACATTGAGACCCATGGTAAAGGAGGTATCATTGGGTGAGGGGCCGGAGTGTTTTGTTTTGGTCGGAGTTTGGAGATTTTTTTTCTTTTGGCCGTTTTCTTTTTTTTCCCCCCGATGTAAGTGGGGGGTGTAACGAGTTATTTTTCCCAGGGGGGTATATTTTCGTTATTTGGGCCGCGGGTCTGTTGAGGTAAGCAAGCAGCGGCAGCGAAGCTACCTAGCGCCCTTTGACCCGGCTTATCAGTTCCGATAAGCCTGGGATATCCTAGATCTTCAGGACAGTATAGGAGAAGGACATTCGAGTGGTGGATCTCGGAGAGTCAAGAAGTGAGTGTTGATGTCCTGTGCCTGTGGAGACGGCTGGCGTACGTTGGTGGTACAGAGAGGAGTGGTGTACGTGACAGTGGTGTCGGAGTATGCTGGTGGTGTGATCGCGCCGAGTGTTGGTGTAAGTTGGGTACTGACCCACTTGTGGTGAGTGGACGACTTGATATTATTATTTTGATAATATTAATATCTGGTTTTATTGCGAGAGTTAGAGTTGTAACCGTGCTGGTCAAAGCCTGACGGTAGTTAGGATTTATATTAGTCAGGAATAATATTAAAGTGTATTCCTGACGGTTCTGGGCAGGTGCTAGAGCGCAAATAATATAATTTAATTGACTGTAGTAGATATTATTTTGCGTTGTACCTAGAGTTAGTTATATTACTAATAACTCTGAGGCCCGACAAACCTAGGCTGCACGATTTAGCGTGCGTAGTTGGAAACACGTGGCCAGTAGGCTAGTAGCTAATATTATTAGCCTATTAACAGAAGCCCAGCTAAGCAATATAACGTTGATATAGTAACAGTAGCAGTAGTAGGGTTGTTATTGTTTATTCATTTGATTATTTTAATTTAACCTGAACAGCTTGTTTGGTAGTCCAACACGTTATCTCGGTAGCTTGGGTAGCGGAGTACCGGCTATCAGATAATATATTTATCTAGTGTTTGGAACGTATTTAATATTTATTTATCTGCTACTAAGTAGCTCAATAATTTAATAGTAGTGCAATTGCCATTTAGCTTTGCTTGTTTGGCTTGGTATTTATTGAGACCAGCTACTAGTGGTGTAGTCACTCTACCTATAGTGCACTTGTACTGTTATCTGGTATTATTATTGAGTGAACTGTTTGATTGTTAGCTTGGGCAATAGAGTTGTGTATTGGATTATAGTGGCCTAGTAGACCCCGCCTGGCGATAACACGCGTTGTGGTTTTTATTGGCAAGTCGTCGTGTAACTCACCGTGTTTTAGGCACTCTGGGCTTAACTATTGGATAGTTAGGACGAAGCCCGAGTTGCGCAGTCAGCAACGACCCCCTAGGAGTGTGGAGAATCGGCGTAGGCCTGGTAGTGATTATTGCACGTTTGTTTTGGTGACTTGTTTTTTTTACTTGTTCACAGTGCCCGTGTATGAGCCAGTCCTATACCGGTTAGACCCGGCTTTTGGCCTAGTGGTTTCCCTGACCTTATCGCAGACCCTGGAACTTTACCCAGCCATTGTAGGCTGAGCTATCCCCGGCAAACGGTTGCGACTGCTGCACTTGTAATATTTTTCCAGTGCAGAAAATCTCGTCGCACTGTCTTACAATACTATTTAGTATCTTTGAAAAAGGTTTATGGTAGTAAATTGGTAGAACCTTAGTGATCCACTTATCTACTAATAAACAATTATAACTTACCTAAAAAATATTAATAATATGATTATATTTTCTTTTTGTACTTAGGATTTAGTTTTTATATCCATGGCCTAGTTGCATTTATGCATGTTCAATTATAAGTCAAAGGAAATATGGGATGGAGTTGTTCTTTTACTAATAAATAAGGCATGGTAAAAAGTAGTAATGAAATAGTACTTCGTATAGATTTATTTTACTTTATTACTTTTCTTTATTGGTATTTTGAATAAATTGGGGGATATTTATAAACTACAAATTAAATTTCAATTGTTTTGAACCTTAAAGACGATTTAAATTTATAACAGTTTGCTCATGTGTAAAACAAGTTAAGATTCCTATGCTATTATTTATATAAAACAATTTGAGGTATCTAAACCTTATCATATTTGTATTACTTCTTAGCTCTAGAAATACATTTTTATTCTTGTAACGTAGTCATATTATCAAATGGTGTCACTTAGGGCACAACCCAAACAGCTACTAGCCTTGTTGATATAGTATTAAAGAACTTGATTGAAAGTTTGAGTTTATTCTGTAAAAATAGAAAACGTACAATACATTGTATAAGAGATATGGATTAAATTTACGGATTAAATCGTGGAATACGACTTATAAAATGTTCTTATTGCTGTATTTTATTCCTGCTCCCTACATTGCTAAGCTGGCCACGTACGGCTGACCAGTCCACTTTAAATGGACGGTTTAAATTGCCCTCTTCAACCCTTCAAGTTGTTTACTTTTTATACATTCCGTTGGGATCTTCGAGTCATTCCGTGTTTCGATATCGAGAAGCTAGGTCAATAATATTGAAATGAAAAAAAATTATATTTATTTATACAGGTTATGTTCATCTTTGTGTTGGTACAATCCACGCACCGCTTCAAAGCCAAGAAATAGTTTAATACATATTCTTTACATAATAAAGTGTTATCGTATCTTTATAAACTGTAAACATTACTTTGGATTTACAATAGGTAAATATTTTAGTATAACTGACCATTATGTTTAACTCATGTTACTGTAAAATAGCTTCTTAGCATTCTTCCTATAAAAAGGAACCTTTTTTGAACCTTATACGTCACATAAATGGATCATGATCAATACTTACTCTTTTCAAACAACTTAGTTACCGGTTAAATGTTTAATGTTCATGTCCCTGCTGGAAAATAAAATAATATCGGGTTTATTTTACTACATTTATGTAAGCTATGTACTGAATAGGTTACATTCGGGGCAAAATCAATGACAATTACTAGTTTTAGTAAATACAACCTAAGCAATTACAATTTGAAATGAAAAAAAAACGTGTCATAGCAAAGTGTAACTGCTAAGTGATATTTACCATCCGGAGAAATGTAATTGTCTTCATGCGGGGATTGACCTGGTCTAGGAAAGAGCACACGGCTTTTAAGTCCTGGGTTAAAACTCTGCTAATAACCAATTAAATTTTTTTTCAGGGGTGATTCCACAACCCTCTAATAGCCTATTAATGTGTTAATCAGTTCCGAGGTAGAGCATAATGGTGTACTCGAATGTAAAAGTGGGATATGTGTTGAATTGCATGTCTTCAATGTATACAGATTAAGGAGTACTTTAAGCAGATATATCCTAAGAAGATGCACAATCATGATCTTTATTACGTGAAAAAAATAATATCAGTTATTGTGGATTAACGCTAAGATATTTACCCGATATAATTGCAACTTCTCTCATTTATGCAAAACAGGTACAACACACATAATGTAATGCTTAAAAAATAGTGAGTGAAATATAAAAAAAAACTAGACAATAAGATATTGTGAGCTATTTAGCACCATCACAATAAAGCTTCAAACAACATGACACTTCTTGCTTTAGTGGCAGTGCAAACTATGCAAACTAGAAAACTTGTTAAGTTACTATGTCGCTACAGTAATTGCATACTTGAGGCTATAATTAAATTATACACGGTGTTTAATCTACTCGCCTTGCAAAGTTTATTTTAACGCTATTATGTTCTATTTATGTCGAGTTTGTACAATCTATTGTAGCACACAAAGTGTCGTATATTATCAGCAATACTTTTGTTAATGCATTTGGAAGATACGATTTGCGTCGGTGACGTTTTATTTTTCTTTAGAACTATTAATGGGCTAGGTATTGGTAAAAATATATGTAAGCTGTATGGATATTTACGATTCGGACTTCCGTTATGGTAATTTATAAAAGTAGATTAATTATTGTATCTTTTATGGATGCAAATTGAATAGAACACATTTATATATGAGGTACGACGTAATGCCTTGGTGAGGCATTATATACTTTGACTTTGGCATCCTCATGAAACTGTCACACAGATAGCTTCTAGAATGTTGCCGTTTGCTAGCCATTGTCCTGGTAGCCCATAAGTTCCTCTGGTCCATAAGTTTCTTGTGGTCCATAAGTTCCTTTTGGACCGATACTTTTTTTTGAACCATAAGTTCCTTGAAGTCGGTTAGCTCTTTGTGGTCCATAAGTTAAACACCACCAGGAGGAGGATACGATTGAAGGAGGTTAAGGAAATAAAAGAGAATTTCATTTCACATGGTACACTCCTTACATACTTCTTAGGGTTTTGTTGGACTACATGTAAAAATAGAAATTAATCATAACCACAAACGCGGCTTTTAAAGGGGCAATTTATTTAACAAGGAGACATTAACCCTCACTTTTAGTATTACCTAAAGTAAAATTCTTAAATTGCATAGGCAATGTACTCGTACTTTCAGATATACCATTTTGCATCGATAAATCAGATGTAATAAGTTTTAACATTGTGGAGGTGGCTCAATGGTTTCGTTAACAAAATTTACAGAATTTCGAATCCAAACTAGGTTGGAAATAACGATTTAAAGGTAAATGTTGTGTAGAAGTTGTAGAAAGGTTTTACGATGGGTGTGAGGTACAATCAGACCAAGGCATGTAAAGGGACACTGGATTGTGTGTGGTGTGGTCACGATAAAGGACAATGGACGTTGTAAACAGATCCACTTTGGAACCAGAGAACGAAATCTGTGAAAATAAAAGAGGTCTTTCAAATCTCAACACATTTAGGTTGACTACTTGTGCTCATGTTTTTCATATAATACCAAAGCATTAGGCTACTATACTTTCCTACGTTAAAATTGAGAATTTATTGGATTTGTATTAAGTGTTTTTAGTAAAAAAAAAACAAGAAAACAAGAAAACAAAAAAAAAACAGGTAAACCAAATATTGAAAGTCCATCAAAGTTAAGGCTTATAGTTGGTTACCTTTTGAAAACGTATATGTATTATAATTAGTTGGGAGTATTCTTATATCCATGAAAGATTTCCAT